TCTTCCAGTTCTTTTTGCAATCTTGCCATGTTCTCCTCGAATTTTTCCATTCTGGCCTCCATCTGTCTCTTTTTTGTTCGAGTATTGTGCGGATGATGTGTGTCTTGAGCTCTTGGTATTTGTTCTTTCTGAGACATGTTCTGTTAGTTAATACGAATGTAAACACATGGAAATATAAAAATAAACATGAAATATAAAATGCAAAGTATGCAATGCATGATGTATGCAATTTAGAGGCATTGATCCAGAAAAGTGTCTGTTATTATAAATAATCCTTATTTAAACAAAAGCGTTTTATCTTATAAGAGACATAAAAACAATCAAAGGTATATCCGGACTAAATCCTCCAGACCCCGAACATCTTCTAAAAGATTGACAAGTCTTCTTCCTTCATCTGTTACTGGTTGAATGTTCTGTCGAACCACTCCGGCTTCCCTTGCCAAGCCATGTAGATGACAGGCTGCCTTCTGTACTTGATCCAGGAAATCTCGGATGACTACGTCTCTAGCCTTCACCCTTTGCTGAGCTTGCTCCCAACGGAAACGCCACTGTAAACCTCCGTCGAAAGGCACTATCTGAAGTTCGCTTGCTTGCTTCTTGAGTTCATCAAGAATGGCTTCTAACTCAGCTATTGTTTTGTCATCTTTCTCATGTTGTTTCTCCAGATCAGCCACCTGGATTCTCAAGCATTGGTTATGATGTTGACTACCTGCTAAGCGCCTCTGAGTAGTCTTCAGCTGCTCATCATACCCCTCAAACTTCCTTTTTAGGATATGAGCTTCATCTTTCCAGTATTCAGAAGTTCTTTTCAAATTGGAGTTATCCTTGACTTTATCTTGATACCCCTTTCTCAAGTCTTCAAGCTCGAAATGGATTTTCTTCTGTTCTTTCTCCAGTTTGTCTGCTCGATCTTTCTGAGTATCGGCGTCTAACTTCCATTGGTATCGTTCAACTTCAAGTTCCCTTACCTTCTGCTTCAGCTCATTATTCACAGCTTTAAACTCGGTCTTGGCTATCTCCAGTTCGGAAGGGACATACCTGAGATGTTCCTCCATGGTCCGGGTGTCTTCACAGTCTGGCACCGGGATGTTGTCATTTTTTCTCAATCTTCTCCATTCTACATAATCCGGAGTAAGCATGTCTCTTGCAGCTACAATATCCATTCGGAACAATTTTTTCCATGAGTCAGCTACTTCTTTGATCATCTTTTTATAGTTATCACCGTGGTACACAAACTCTGATATAGATAATCCGTATGTGGCCGGGATAAACTGACGTGCCCCATATTGTCTAAGTGCTAACGACGGAGCATACCCAACTGCGCCCCAAAGTCCAAGTAAGGTCATAGTATCAGAATCCCCACACCGGTAAAGAATGTCACTGAGGAATAACCAGGGGGCTCTCCAGGTAATATCTCGGTCCTGAAGATGAGTGAATACCTTCATCCACTTTTCCTTGGTAGCGCCTTCATGCCATTTTATAGTGATGAACTCTCCCAAAGGTGAATAGGTGGTGCTAAATCGGCGGTAGGCGACCCCGTTAGTCTTCCAGAAATGGCTGTGAATCCAAACTTGAAGAAGCTGAACACACCCAATGAACCTTCCTCCACCAATTCTTCTGCAATGATTAAGAGACCGAAAGGTCTCGGCCAAAATGGTCGGTGCTGGGTTGACTCGCCTTGGAAGTTGTTTAAATAGTTCTACAACGGTTGCGTCAATGCACCCAAGGATCTTCGGAAATATAATCAAACCATACAGACCCAGTGCAAAAAGGTCTATAGTCTTCCATTCATCAGGGTGGTTCTTCATTAGTTGCTTTATGTGGATCCACTCGATTCCTTCCCCATTACCTTTGTGTCGGAGTCGATCAGTTACCCATTTTTCATCAACCCCTGCAATCTTAGCCAGTCCATTCTTGAAAGGTTGACTCTTGATGTGTTTGATATATACCCTCTCTAGTATGATACTTTCACAGTGCAGTAGGGTAGTATACTCTTCGATGGTGGGCACCATATCCTCCTGGTTAAAGGTGAAACAACTATATCCTGGGTTCCAGAATTGAATCAATGCTCGGAGCAGGGGCTCATCAGTCTTGACATGTAGTAAGAGGGCAATATCACCATATCGTTGGCTAAACTTCTGCTTTCTGTCATTCTTCCAACTGTCCCAAATGTTCCGCAGCTCTTGGACATTATTCTGTTTCAGGCTGACAGATGCGTAGCTAACCAGCTCTGACACATAGTTACTCTGAAGACTATCTCCCTTCTCTTTCTGCGTCTTCTCGGACCATAGTCGTGCCTCGGCGTTTTTAATCTCTTGTATTACAACACCTTTGTCCATTAATTCAGATTATTTCGTGTGTAACAAACTATTTTTAGGGATCAATAGCCTCTTGTTATGATGCAAATGCTAGAAAACAAACACAAAGGCAAAAAAGTTAGTAAAAAAATAAACAAATAAAAAAAATAACGAAAGAAAAAAAATACAAAAAACATGGTTAGGGTAAAAAATATCCTAGGTTTTGGAATTTGGTTTCGGGGTAGGCTCTAATTCTCCATGGTCTCTCGGTTTAAGTTCTAAAATGGTACCCGAGTTCTCCTTGCTGGTGACCCCTTGGGCTTACCAGACCCTTAGTCCTAAACCCATCACAGGTTTGTATGGACCAAGTTAAACTCGAGAGGACACATTCCCTTATGCCCGCACGGTGAATAAATTCACACGAAGACATAAGGTATATGAATCCCGAAGGTTACTTGCTAGGCCCGCACGGAGAATAAATTCTCACGAAGGCGTCGCTTTCACCCCCACTTAAATAGGGTTCGGAGCTCGTATAGAGCATGAGATGACAATTTTGAAAAATCTGAAAACATTAAAAAACGTTAGTACAACTATTTATTTGAAAAATATTCAAAGATAAATAATTGGAATCGAATAAATAAATTAAAATTTAAATTTACCATTTTCGCATAAAAAGACAACCGAAAATTAATTATGGCCTGACTCACTTATTGTCCCCAGCGGAGTCGCCAAGCTGTCTCGACCGCCTTTCGGGTGGGCCCGGAATTGGGCTTCGACTTAAATAAAATATTAGGAGTCGCCACCGATCATAAAAAAATATTTAGGTTGATCGGATACCATCTTAACTGATCTGCGTTTTACCAGAAATATGTCGGGCACGGGAGTCGGTTACAGTCAAGGAAGGATTAGCACCCTTGAACTGTCCTTTCGGTACCATTTAATTTATCGGTTGTCTTAATTACAAAAATTAAAATTAAAATTAAAATTTAAAAATTCGATTCAAATTACTTACCTTTGATTGATTGAAATTATCCTAAAAAGATCATAAATAAAGTAAAAAAAACTAAAACAAACAAACACAAAGAGTTAGTATTAAAATTTAAATAAAAAAAAAGAGTAAATAAAAAAAATAAAAGAAAATTCGAATTAAAAAAAATTAAATTGGAAAGGATTAAAATTCATGGATCAAATTAATTATAGGAATAAGCTACAAAAGAAAAACATAAAATTAAGGGATTAAATAAAAAATAGAAATTTAAAGTACTAAAATAGCGAAACAGAAAATTAAAATACCAAACAATGATTAAACCAAATGTAAAATAATGACTAAAATAAAGTATTTGAAAGTATAATGACCAAAGTAGAGTTCTAATAAGAAAAACAACAAAATAAGTAATAACGGGAATAAAATAAAAGTATTAAAACATTAATGCTTAAACTAAAATAAAGTAAAAAAAATAGTGGGTGAAACATAAAATTAAAATAACATGATTATCCAAATTATAGTAAAATATAATTATGTTGGATAAAATACAAGAATACATAAGATAATAGCTAAAATGAAATAAACAAAGATAAACATAAAAAAAAAAACTACTCAATCAGGAATAAATAGTTACTAAAGTAAATAGACATAAAATAAAGTGGCAAAATTAGAAATAAACAAAACAAGAAATATAACATGTTAGTGACTAAATCAAAAACTAATAGTGACTAAAATAAAGGAAATGAAAGTTACATGCATAAATCATCACAAAATATAACATATTGGTGATCGAATTGAAAATAACGAAAATAAAGCACCTAAAATGAAATAAAATAAAAACATAGAACTTTGGTGACTAGAATGTAAAAACAATGTAATATTAGAGGGACCTGGACGTGATTAACCACAAAAGTTTAATGACTGATTTTTAAAACAGCGATAATAGAGTGACTTAAACATAAATAGACCAAAAAAAAAACCATTATAAAAGATGACAATAAATTAAAGGATCCTATATGAGGTTAACCCAAAATTCAAATTAAAAGCACTCCCCCACCTGAATTAACTCCAGAACACGTGAACCCCAAATAAAACCCCCTTTCCCATTTTTTATTCTGTAACATATCAAACCCACAACCTTCTTCTAATTTTCTTTCAAGCAGAGCATCCATGGAGTCCCAAATTTCCAGTGAAATCGAGAGCCACACCAACCACTCGACTCTAGACCCGACGACGACGACACCTCTACTCCGACGTACTGCAGCAAGGTAACTTAACTCTCTATTTTTATTTTAATTATTTTTTTAAACTCGTGGAATTTACGTTAACTACGAACAAAATTACAAACTAAAATTCTTATTATTAGTTGCATTCGTATTGAACAAAAAAAAAAAATTAAAGAAAACTGAAATATAAACTGAACTACCTTAGGAATTGCTGAAAAAAAATTTGTATTTTATTACTATCCCCTTCTGAAAAACAAGAGTAATCCCTTTTACAATTCTTCCTCCTCCCCTTTTTCTTCCATTTCAATCGGCTATTTATAGCCATTTTCTTACATAGCTTTTACATAAAAAATAACAATTTGCAATCTGATCATACTTTAGATCAGATATCACATGCGTCTGTAGGATTGGTAGGAAACAAGCATTAACGCTCTGGGGTAGTGATGGCAGCAAGTTGCTTAGAGAAGGGCCAGGGCGAAATGAAGTGTCTACACTCCCGCCGCCGATGATTTCCTCGAGCAAATCCTGGGACTCTCCAACTTCGCGCCGCCTGGAACGGGCTTAGCTGGATCCGACGGTGGATTGGCTGGAACCGGTCCAGGGGCTGGAGCTCCAATGTTTTTGCAGCTCAGCTCCGGTGATGGCGCCGGACATATCGGCGGTAGTGGAGGTGGTGCGTTTCACGGACAGGTTTTTCCGTTGGGTTTGAGCTTGGAGCAAGGTAAAGGCGGGTTTTTGAAGCCCGAGGACGCTTCCGGTAGCGGCAAGCGGTTTCGCAACGGCATCGTTGATGACAGAGCTTCTTCTGTAAAAAGTGTAAGAAAAAATTAGTAATTTGTCATTTCTGTTGATTTTGTTTAAAAAAAATTCTCATGTGTTTGCTTGGTTTCCCTAAAAGGATAAAAAAGTATTTCTCTTGGAGCTTGACTAAGAAGCTAGATATTTCATGGTGTTGATAATAATGATTTTCTTGATAATTACTGTTCTTTTTCCCAGTAAATGGAGTATGTTCATTTGTCCTTGTCGGATTACTTTAAGTTTTAGATTGTCAAACATGGGTGACATCGAATTTGTCTATTTGATATTTTATCATATTCATGTTACTATATCATGTTTGTTTTTCTTTCTGTCTGATAGAAGAGAAGACAAGGGAAAACATTACATGAAACACTACATCATGTCCTAGGATTATTCAATATAAACAAGAGTTTCACTTCAAAAAACGAAAACTTGACTTTTCAATGATTAAATGAGTAATAGTTGATTACTTGGTTTGTAGTAAACACATGTTTTCTCGGTTGATTTTGGAACCGGCTTTGCTTAATGGTCAACCGTTCACCTGCCAGCATGCCTAAAACTGTCAGATATCATGTATGAGTCGAGTTATTTGTGGAAGATGTCGAATTTCAGAATTGTCTCCTTTTGGTTATTATTGTAAAAGATGTATGAAAGTTAAAACTATGAAGAAAGATGGATCCCGGGTTTTCTTTCGCTGATTTAATATAGATTTAACGTATAGGTCATGGTCAAGACATTCTATCATCCTGACTTGAGTAATTGCTTTTGTATTTGGTTATTTAGATTGTCAGTTCCTTCTCCGAATTGTGTGGGAAGTGTTTTGCTAAACTATATTCCACTGATTATGCTTATATTCTAAACATCTATTTTCATATAAGCATCAGATTATACTGTCCTAAAGACATATATGGAGTAGAGTGATTTTCTCCTTCTACTGTATTTTCTTTCTCTGTCAAGAGGAGATGGGTGGGCGGGAGAGAAAAGATGGTATTGATATTAGTTTTATCTTATTCTATAAGTTCTATCATCAATGATATGACTTGTATAACTTTCCAGGTTTTCCCTGGCCAACCTATGCAAGCAACTGTTGCTGCAGCACCTCATCCACCAGCAATGTGTCCAAGGGTGCGGGCTAGACGAGGACAAGCCACAGATCCTCACAGCATTGCTGAACGGGTAAGATTAATATATTATAAATAATCACACCAAATTCAGGAATAGCTAAATATACGGAATGGAAGTAATTCAGATTTATGTTTCTGGTCGAGAATCAAAAGGAACGAGTAAGTTTATTAGCAAGGGAACATTTTGAAAGGATAGAAATTGGATAAATTGATTAATTGTGACTAGTTCCATCAGGTGTTTCAATGAAATTGACATTTTAAATATCGTTTCTGTTGTTTGGTCAATATGCACAATGTAGGTCATTCATTGAGAAAACAGATACTTATTTTTCTTCAAGAAAAATTGTATAAACTATGAGAATTAAGTACTATAATGTCTATTTTAAATATCTAGAAAAGACGAGTAAAGCCTGTATATATAATCTTTTAGGAGGAGGAAATCTAGTAGCTCATAAAGTTGCACTTGAATGCCACCTCTGAAACTTGGACCCTTCATAAGTGGAGAGAGTTTAGCATCGGCATGACACGATCCTCAACATGGTATGAAATCTGTGTCAAACATGACAAATAACTCGGACTCTTTTGCAACCGATGAAGCTCAATGCTAGTTTTGGTTTAATTTTTCCACAAATTTTGTTCTTTGGCTAGATGCTAGAAATCACCCCCCCCCCCCCAACACACACACCAAAAAAAAGGGGGATAATAAAGACTAAAGTCTAAAGCTGTAAATCCAGAAAGAATGAGAAGATAACAAAGAAAGAATATAGTAAAGAGAGAATATAAATGAAAAGGAAGACGAGTGGGTGAGTTTGGTTGTTCTTGTAAAGAGTAGGACAAGGGAGTAGTTGTTGAATGGTGTTGCAATTGTGATTAACTACACTGAAGCATTAGGTTTTCTCCTTTGGTACAGTTGCGTAGGGAGAGAATTACTGAAAGAATCAGGGCATTACAGGAACTTGTTCCTAGTGTTAACAAGGTCAGTTCTCAGTCCTTTTTTCTATCACTTCGTTTCCTTGTCAAATGAATTGCATATTTCCATTTCTTTTGGGAATGATCAGACCATACAGTTTACTGGTTTTTATTTAAATCAATATAGTAAGGAGCATGCTCCTATTATCAATAGAGATGATCTATTAATGCTGTGAAATAGTAAAAAGAATGTTCTCAACATCAGTGAACAATAAGCTTTTTATGTTCTGTCACTGATCTTATGAGCCCATAACTGCTGATCTTCTCCATCTCGTTGTATAACCTTGCAATGGTTTTATGACTAACCTTTTAATGTAAAGGCTTTGAAATCTGTTAAAATTATTATTACTTGAGGGTTTGTCTACTTCCTTGGGCTCATTTCCAAGCAAACTTTATTGTCTGTTAAATATCGTACACATATCGTTATAGGGGTCTCATTGAGACGTGCGTCTTTATGGTAGATTTGTCTTCTTGGGATGTAAACCATGGTAAAGTCTAACCTATAAGGCATGCAACTTTGTTTAGTAGTGATGAATGTTCCTTTGTACAGACTGATAGAGCAGTCATGCTTGATGAAATCGTAGATTATGTGAAGTTCCTGCGACTCCAAGTTAAGGTATCATTCACTCTTTTAACTGTTTGATTTTCATACTTTACTGCATATCATAGCACTGCTCATGCCTGTAGAATCGATCTGCTATAACTTATTTGATGAATGAGCCATATAATATCGGAATTTTCCTGCCATTATGTCGGGACATGTTCCATTTGAAAGAATTCTCTCGTTGTAATAAATTTGATTGTTTAACAGGTTTTGAGCATGAGTAGGTTGGGTGGAGCTGGTGCTGTGGCACCGCTTGTAACGGACATCCCGATATCTTCGGTAGAGGTAATAAAATAAGAAATCATGCGCATATTGGACAATTTATATCTTTCTATCCATTAAGATAATAGAGCTTCCTGTATTAATCATCAGTACGAAAGCGGTGAGGGTGGGAGAAGCCAACCAGCATGGGAGAAGTGGTCAAACGACGGCACAGAGCAACAAGTTGCCAAGCTCATGGAAGAAAACGTTGGAGCCGCCATGCAATTCCTCCAATCAAAATCTCTTTTCATTATGCCCATCTCACTCGCCACCGCAATCTACCACACCCAACTACAAGATACCTCCTGTGTTGTCAAGCCGGAAACAAATCCGCCTTCATAGACCGTCCTTAATCAAACCCTTTATTTGTCGTATTCTAACAGCCCCCCAACGACGACAAATAACTTGTTTTGCTGGCTTTTTAAAATGCAATCAAAGTCAGATGCCACAGCAGTAGCTTTTTTTTTTTTTCTTCTCTGCGTTTCTTTTTCCAGCTTTTGTTAAAATATTTCAAAACAGGGTTTGATGTCAATGCGTAAAAGAAATGAGAGGCGGGCAATTGATAGCTTGACAAGTTCCAGTAAAGGGGAAGGATTGTCAAAGTTTCAATTGGCACGCTCTTATTTTTTTGTAGCAAAAAAAGGTGGGGGAAGATAGTGGAGAATGATGGAAAAGCACATTTTTTTGGGTTAGTGGATTGAGGGACCTGCAAAAAAGGTAGCTCATATTATATTGTAACAATGTATTTCTCCTAGGAAATGGAATGCTCAGGTATTACAAGAATTGATATTATATATATATATATATATGTGAAGTGCTTGTTGCTATGGATGTTGAAGTCGTTTGGACGACGGGAAAAAGATGGTGGGCGGTCGTGGCTGGCTGCCTGGCTGGGTTACCGTCGCTTTCAGCCACTACTTTTATGCTACATTTCTTCATCATGCGTTCTGAATCATACTAGACACGCAAATCCACTTGGAACTCACAATCTTCACGAGTTCGCGGTTAACTTTTCTAAAACCGGTCTGAATCATTTGTCCGATCTTTTATTTTTTTTTTCATCCGCACCTGACCCGATTTGGGTTTAAAAGAATTTCATTCGATTTGAAAATCAATTCAATTTTTAAAGTTAAAATTCACATTTCACTCAATTTATATATATATACATATATAGTTAATTTTTCAGATAAAATAAGAATATAAAGTGTATTATTGTAATTATTTTTATATGTGCAAAAGATAATTATAATATTATGTTGAGTAGGGTTGGATTTTTATCTTAAATTTGAATTAGATTTGACTTGATTTCACCCTTAAAAATTCTAATTCAATCTGGATTTTTAAAATGAAATATGATCATTCCTATATATGATAATATATGATTAGGGGACCTGAGTTGGAGTCCATACTGCTCCCTATGAGCCGGGCCTGTGAATATTATTTATACCTAAGCTTGAGGGTCGGGCATGTGAATATTTATACCCAAACTTGAGGGGTCGGGCTTCGTGGTTGGTTTCTGTATTCAACAGCAACATATGTATCCTACAGTAGCTTTAATTCTATAGTAGAGTTGGATGCTTTGTCTATTCTTAGTGCAGCCCCGGCCGTACTGGAGGTTTCGTCCTTCAAGTAAATCATCGCACCTGCGGTCTAATCAATCGTTATAATCGTTGATGACTTTAATAATACTTCTGAAATTAAAGGTAGATGCAGAAGCTTAGATATGAAATGTATAGTTGTCGTTCATTCAATCTTCTTCGTGCACATATGCTTATCCTGGAAAAATGGCAATAGTATATCATTTTATACACTTGGATTCGATCTTTTAAGTAATCTTATATTCTTTTAAATCAGAAAACAAAGTGACAAAAAACAATGGGTGAAGATTTCCATCTTTAAGTATTCTTATATTCTGATCCCTTCATGATTCTCAGTCTCTTGCAAGAGCAAATGAACATTCTGCAAACAAAACACAAACAAAAATTTGAGCTTATTGGTAATTCAAATGACAAAAACAACAAATGAAGTTCCATTGTAATGGACACTTACTCCCATGGAACATCTCCAACAAGCATCCAATCACCATCTTTATCTTCATAAGTAGGAGCATAATCAGATCCATCGTACCCTTCCCTCTCCGAGTATGCACCTATTAAAATATTGCAGACCAAAGAACAGATCAGAAACTATTGATTTAACCCTTTTTTTTCCGTCTCAAAAGAAATGATTAATGCTTACCAATGGTGAGCTTGAACATTTTTTCCAAAGCCTCTAGGAGTTGAGGATAGCTTTTGTAAACCTTGAGATCAATCTTCCTAAGATAAGGAGCTCCGTCAACACTCACTTTCACATACATCCCTGTCGCTTCAAGGACATCCCCATGTGGAAAGGGAGTCCTACGTGTTGAAAAATCAAAGCACATGGGGTGGCTGGAAAAATGGTTTTGGGCGGCTAATATAGTCAAATTTAGGCAACCAAATTGTTGAAAAAATAAAGGGATAATTTGTAACATCCCAAATCAAGGTCAGTGACTAAATTGCAAATTTTAAAAACTATGTGCTCGATTTTGAAATAAGTTAAAAGTTTATGGATTTAATTGAAGAAAGTTGATGTTGGATTTAATGGTAAAGTTTGGAAATAACAAGGGTATTATGGTCTTTTTTAAGAGAAGATTTTTATTCTCTTTTTAAGGGATATAAAAACGTGGGAAATGAGATAATTTCTCCAGAGTATTCTTATGTCTTCTTCTTCCTCCTCTCCACCGTGAAGCCTTGTATAAGGTAAGTGGGTCTTCAGTTGGTTAATTCTTTCATTTTATAGCTTGTTTTGATTCTTGGGATGTTAAGAAAGATTAAGGAAAGCTTTAGGTGGCTTAAAACTCAAAGATTAGCAAGTTATGAGAAATTAAGAAAAATAAGTTTTTAAGTGAATTTTTGAAATAGAAGGAGTTAATAGATTTTGAAGTTTAATTTGACTTGTCAAGGGTTAAATTAAGAGATATTAAGTGATAGAATGGGTTTTAGAACATGTTGGAAATTTAGTGTGATTCTTAAATGCCATGTAAATGATAGAATTTTGAGTTTAAAGAAGTGATTATGGAGTAGAAATGAGTTTAAGCATGTGTATGAAAGTTAGGAATATTAAAGGGAGTGAAGTATGAAGCGTTGAGCTGAAAATGAAGTGATTTTCGAGCTAAAAATATGATTTCTGGGCTAGGGGAATCAGTACCCATTCAAGGGGAACCGATACCCCTTCAAACGAACAAAAATTTCCAGAATGTCATGAGGGAATCGATACCCCCATAGTAGGGAACCGATTCCCCCTAAAGGAAAATTGTGAATATTGGTTTAATAAGTTCGTTTAAGTTGCTAGTATCAAATTACAAGGTGTAGGTATCTAATAATTGTCTTAAAATGTATAATTATGTAGATTCAGAGCCTAATCAAGTTCCGAAATCATTGAAAAGTAAGATCGATCAAGGGGAAAGATAAGAGATTGGAATTGACAAGTTAGTTTATGATGTTTAACAGAAATAAGACTTGCGACAAGTCTATTTCCTATATTAGAAGGCCTGAATGTATGATCATATGCATATGTTTGATTTGGGTATATGTGATATATATATTATAGTATGTATTAAATGATTTGTGTGAATGCATGCAGTGTGATAAGTTATAGGAATTAATATGAATGATCTATATGATTACATGAGAATGTGAATAGGTTATATGATAGGTGACCATACATGTTACATAGTAAATGTGATCAATTATAAAAATCAATATAATAGATTTATATGACTACAGGAGAAGGGTAATGAGTTAAATAAGATTAGACTATGGAGTAATATGGGAATAATATATTAGTGAAGGGAATTGAGTATAAATGATGATGCCAAACTATAAGATAAGTGTTATAGAGAAGAAGTATATTTAAAGAGAATTATGGTATAGGATTTAAGTAAAATTTAACTAAATAAATAGATTAAACTGGTATAGATGGAAAATGAGATAAGTTAGGTAGCATTTACCTAGGAGATAACATAAGATTATATGAATAAGTAGCATAAATGACATAAGGAAAACTTATGTGTTATATGATTTAAGCATTGAAATGAACAAAAGATATATTCAGGTGAAGTTATTCGATGATATGAGTATATGCCATTATTGTACGGTTTAGATGAAATACTATACATGAATAAATGTGATTGTGTGAGAAATGATAGAAACTATATGAGAACATGTATATGTGAAAGTAATCTATGTGATTATATGTTATATGAATACAAGAACCTGAGATATGTAACATGTGAATTATATGGAAATAATCTACGTGTAAGTGAACTATGTGACTATGTGATTATATGAAAATGTGATAATGAGTTATGTTAAAAAACTATGAGACTACGTGTCCAGGTAATATGAATATGTGAACATGTGAAATGACATAAATGATAATGCCCATGTTATGTGTCATGAGAGCTAGGGGTATAGTTGGCATGCCAAGAGTCGAGGGTCTACGCAGTCCTTCGGGACATATATATATATATATTCTTTGGAACATGTGTGAAGTCTTGTGAGACACATACTTGATCCCTAGTATATGTATATGATTCTTAAGGAATGATATGTGGTCCTTATGGACATTATTATATGGCACTTCAGTGCATTTCTACGCGGCACTACGGTGCAATTCTACGTGGCACTTCGGTGCATTTATACGAGCTGTGGTGACAGCATTAGTGCACAACCTCTATAGACTCACATATCTATAGTTCTCACATGTGTTCATGGGCTAATAAAAATAATAATATAAATAAACTTGGTATGATTATATGTTTGTTTCGTTGTGAACTGATATATGTGCTATGATGTGATAATTAAGGATATTATGGATAAGAGTATAAAATTATAAGGAATAATGTACAAATTGATAATAATAGAAATGATTGTACATAAATATGTATGTTTTGATATAATGATATGTGTGTTTCTCGTGACATGGTACAAGTGCATATATATGTTGATGTATATGTAAATGAGCTATATAATTTGATAGCATAAAACAGTCATGCATGATTAGTGGGTATGAATTTCATTATATGTGTTTTTTTATGCCTCACTAAGTCATTGACTTAGTGTGTGATTGTTTCACACATAGGTTACAGAAGCGAGACGAGAAGAGAAGAAGAGTAAGACAGGTCAGTACCTCCCTTACAAAATTTCAGAACAGAAAATAGAGGATTTAAATGTTTTTGGTTATTTTGAGTATAGTTGGCATATACTAATTGGTTGAATTAGTTATGCTCTGATTGATTTTGGGTATTGTGGTCAATTTATGTAACTAAACCGCTTTTACTTTAATGAAAGATTTAAATTTTCTTTGAATTTTGTTAAGAGTCAAAGTTTGAAAAGTCAATGTGACGCCTCAGACTCGTATCCGAGTCGGGTACGGGTTGGGGGTGTTACATAATTACTAAATTTAATCCCTAAAATTTAGGGTATTTACAAATTAGTCCTTAAGTTTCAACTATAAATACCCTAACTCATTTAGCTTCAAAACCATCCCAAAGCATTCCAGTTTTCTTCCAATACTAGAGAATTTAGAGAGTTTCTTGAGAGTTGTTTTCTCCTTCTTATCAAGAGAGAATTATCATTGTTTTCTCCTTGGTAGACAGAGAGAAGTTGTAATTCCTATTTTCTCATAGTGAAATTCTTCTACCGTTGCCCGTGGTTTTTACCCTATATTATTTAGGGGTTTTCCACGTAAGTTTTGTGTCTTCTTTATCTTCATTTTTATTTTCTCAAATTATCATTTGTGATTTTTCTCTATCCGATAGCCGTCTTCCACAACAATTGGTATCCGAGCCAGATTTGAGTGTGTAATATCTGCTTATTGTCTTTGTGGTTGCCACCAAAAGGTGGATCCTCCAACATAAGAAATTAAGAAGATATTACTCATTCTTTGAAGGTTCCAGAGAACTATTCATGATAGTGAAATAGTGGGAGCTATCCGTAAAAGAAGCTATGGAAACGAAATTTGATATTGAAAAATTCAATGGGGGAAATTTCTCATTGTGGAAATTGAAGATGAAGACCATCCTGAGGAAAGACGGTTGCCTAGCAACTATCAGTGAAAGACCGGTGGATTTCACATATGACAACAAATGGATCAAAATGGACGGGAATGCTATGGTAAACTTTCATCTAGCATTAGCAGATGAAGTATTATCAAGCATTGAGGAGAAGAAGACAACTAAGGAGATATAGGATCATCTCACCAAACTGTACGAGGCCACATCGATGCACAATAAAATTTTCCTTAAGAGGAAATTGTACACTCTCCGCATGTCAGAATCTACTTCAATGACGGAGCACTTAAACACACTGAACACAACGTGTTGAACTTCTACTTCAAAGTCTAACGGATTCGTATGATCAACTCATCATCAACTTGACAAACAGTAATGTCACCAGTCTAGTCTTCGATAATGTTGCAGCTGCTGTTCTACAAGAAAAAAATCGACGCAAGAACAAGGAAGGTAGACAAGTAAATCTGCAACAAACAGAAGCGTTGACAACGACGAGAGGGAGATCAACAGAATGTGGCCAAAGCAGCAGTCACAAACATGGTAGATCGAAGTTGAGAAGCAAGAAGAATTTAAAGTGCTACAACTGTGGAAAGAAGGATCACTTGAAGAAGGATTGTTGGAGTCTAAATAAAAACTCTAATCCACAAGGCAATACCACAAACACTTTAGATGATGGAGATACTCTATGTTGTGAAGTGACAACCACCGTGGAAGGCAGAAAAAGATTTGCAGATACATGGCTCATTGATTCAGGAGCAACATATCACATGACCTCAAGAAGAGAATGGTTCAATCATTATGAACCTGTCTCAGGAGGATCTGTGTATAGTTGCAATGATCATGCCTTAGAGATCGTTGGCGTGGGAACTATCAAATTGAAGATGTAAGATGGAACAATTAAAGTTGTTCGAGAAGTGCGGCACGTGAAAGGCCTGAAGAAAAATTTATTATCCTACGGATTGTTGGATAATAATGCAAGCAAGATTAAAACACAGAAAGGAATCATGAATGTGTTCCGTGGAGCGCTTGTGGTGTTGAAAGGCGAAAAGATAGCAACAAACTTGTATATGCTGAAGGGAGAGACTTTGCTAGAAGTAGAAGCCTCTGTTGCCTCATGTAGTTCAGATTCTGCAATGCTATGGCATCAGAAACTTGGACATATGTTAGAATAAGGAATGAAAGTCCTTGTGGAGCAAAAGCTACTTCCGGGATTAACAAAGGTATCACTTACTTTGTGTGAACATTGCATAACAAGTAAGCAGCACTGGTTGAAATTCAACAC